ATTTCCCAAAAAAGTCAAAGTTCAAACCCCACTTGCTGTTGCTTTAAGAACACAGGTGGATGACTGCGTTGTGTGTTATGGCATCCTTGTCCCAGAGGTTCTTGTTTTGTGTCCTCTGTCAATCCATCCATCCATCCATCCTTCTGTCTGAGAAGTGGAGTCTGTTACAGGCTTACTGCAATCACCAGGGAGCCGCTCCACAGTGACGCATTATGTTTATGTTTAAGCCTCTTTGTATCATCTCTACATGGCCACTGATCCATCCATCAGTCAGCATCTCTCCAGACAAGAGCTCTCCTTCTCACCACTACAGCAGATCTTCTTAGTGTCTAAAGAGCAATTGACACAATGAATCTCTTCGTCTTGTTTGTCGTCCCTTGTCCTTCCTTTCTCCTTCTTTTCAGCACATTCCCTTCTTCTGCTGTCCTTTTTTTATCTGCTCCCTTACCTCTGTTTATATTTTAATCTCTTCGCTTTATTAGCAACAGTGTTTTTACAGGAGTATAGCCTACACACACTCTGTCTCTGTCATCACTGTCAGCTCCATCCGTCTCCACAGTGACAGAGAAACTGATACCTACACCTACGCTCTGTGGAGATCTCTTTACATGGTGCATTGTTGTAGCTCTACACTGGACCTTTAACAGGTTATCATATGTCAATGTTGTGTTCCCAATTTGTTTCTACAGCCCTAATTCAGTTATTAGAGGTTTAAATATGAAAGAAAATGCCTCAAAGTATATGTTGTGCTGAAGCAGGAGCTGTATATAAAAACTCATTTCAATCCCAGCCTTACAGCTTCACCTTTCTCTCACCATTTTTACTGTTCCCACCCTACTGTATTTCAGAGGAAAGCACACATTAGGCAAGCTGGACACTTCTAAGATGTTATTTCATTGAGACTTTAAAGCAGCACTGGGAAACTCGGCCCCGAATGGCAGCAAGCCTGAGGCAACTATTTACATACTGCAGACTTCAATACCCAGAGTTCATGTACCATGACATTAGTGGACCAAGTTTCTTCTTCGGTGCAGAGGTAGGTTCAGCTATCACTGATGAGTCTGGACATAACACTGCTTCACACTTTGGCATTGGACATTGCGCTTACACTTGGTTGCATCACTTCCTGTAAAATATTCTTGTTGGTGACCATTGTGACAGTGGTGCTAATTAGTAGGAATGTTGCAGTACAGTGAAGTAGGCTAATACAATATGCACATGTGGCTTTAAAATCACTGTTTCTGGAGTGCAGTGTAGTGGATGAGTGTTTGTGCACGTAAGTGGATGCCATTAGCTAGATTTCCATCATTCTGCACTAGTATTCACAGGCCCTGCCAATCACACTGGTTCACACATGCAGAACTGCCATCAATTTATCAAAAATGTGCACACACCTGCCACATGCTTCCTGATGAACACACACTTAATGCTGGCAGCCACTTGAGACTGATCAAAATTGACTCAGGTACACTTTTTCCCCATGTTGGACTTGTTAAAAGGAATATTATTTGAGGGGAAGAGACAAAGAGAAATCCTGTGTAGAGAAGAGGTGGAAAGGTTAGAGATGAGAGAGAGAGAAGAGCAGGGGAGAGGCTGAGTGAGGGGAGAGTGATGAAGATGAAAAAGGGATAAAATACAGAAAAAACAAGGTTGCCCATCTGTGTGTGTATGTGTGTGTGTGTGAGAGAGAGAGAGAGAGACCATCGTCCTATCCATCTTCCTTTATACTATCTCTGGCTGATTATCTCTGGCTGATTGCTGATACAGATGTGGAAGTAAAAGGGCAGATGCACACTTTATGTTGACTAACAACATGATCCAAAGCAAAATCATTTCTCCACCAAAGGTGGTAGTCATTTATTTGAGAAGATGTCAAAAAGCCTTAATTACTGTAAACATACATTAAGTCAGCCACTGAGCAACAATAAACGCTGTCTGAGTTTAACATGTACTGTCACACAGCTACAGTGTGCTCGAGTGAATAGAAGTAATTTTCTTGACAGGTAACCCATTGAGTAGTTTTTCAGTGGATATCATCTATAAACTGATTTTCAAAAAAAAAAAACTGTAAATATAAATTAGCAGAAAGTGGATTTCAGGCTGGTTTCTGTGAGTAACAGATGTGTTTTGGCTCTCTGCTGCCCCTCTCTGGCTGTTAATGCACACTACATTTGACTGCCAGTGAGCCCTTGAAGTCAGTAGCTTGTAGTTGTTGTACTGAACGCAATAATCAGCTAAAAATCAAATCAACAATCAGTGTTTGTTCTTGTTCCCACAGTGTGCTGTTTGAATGCTGTCTGTGCAGAGTTTGATACTAGAAGGATGTTTCCACATCCATCTGCTGAAAGTGGAAAGTTTCTCTGTGCTCATTGAAAATCTGATTTTAAGCCACCAGTGCACATCCACTGAGAATAGACTTTACAGTGAAGTAGGAGATATCTCGTGTCCAGCAGCAAAACTTTTGCATATTCAGAGATTCTGGAAGTTTTTCTTATAAGTCTGAAAGGGATCTTTAAGTTGTTAGAGATACTTGTACTTTGCAATAATGAGCTGAATCCAATCTAATAGTCTTGAGTCTGATTTCTGCTGTGCCTGTAGTGAGGTGAATATTTTACATTGTTAGTAGAAGAGCGTCTCTTTCTGCACTTCTGCAGCATTCCCAGCATTTTTTGTGTATTTTTTTGCTCTCATATCAACGTCACCCATCCACGTCACATAAAGTCCCATATAATTCCCTTTGATAAAATCTTTTTAGATGAATAACAGAGAGCTCTGTGGCTTTGCCGACTGACAGATTGACTTCTTGGAGAATCTAAGCTTGAGTTAGTTGTTTTGGACTGTGCTGCTGTTTGACTGGTTGTATAGCTTGATGACAAACATCAGCTCAGAAGATGTGTATTGACTTAACCTCCGCTTGCCTGCATGGATATTCTCACAACTGTGGTTGGTAGGAACAGCATTTATGATGTTTTTCATGATGATGAATAGACTTTATAGCTGTTTATATGTTTTTCTAAATACATGATGAAAAGCTGCTTCTTTACAGCTTATTTTACAATCTCCCTATTGCATAGACTTGACTTTGTCTCATAACATTAATGCAAGAGAACAAAATATACACAACAGTTTGTTGCATGTTCAAAGGATTTACACAAATACAAACAAATTATGTTTATATGTTGTACACAAATTTGTAGAATGTGCACCAATTTTACCGAGCACGTCTATGATAGAGGAGCATATCGAGCAATCTTGTCCCAATCATCCCTCTCCCCCACTAGCCCCGTGTACAAGCTGGAATCACATATTTAAAACAGTGTTTCATCCCTGAAGTAATACAGGAAGTTACTGCAAGTCAGGTTTTGTATTTAGAAAAGAGAGAAATAAATAAAAAGGGGCGTTTAGAAGTTGATTCACTTATACAGACTGTATAACTAAGACAAAAAGAGAGTGAAGGAATAAGTCTTTAGCCTGGCTGAAGATTCTGAAGGTATTTCAGGAAAGGTTCCCACACCTTTTGGCTTTGACAGGACATAATGTCCCTTGGCCACTTAGCTTGGGTGGGCGGAGGGCATTTGAATGGAGTCAGGCAAATGTCATCCACTCCAGTGGTGCCAAAAAGGGGGCTGCCAAGGGGTTAGGTCTCATTCCTGGGGCATCAAATACTGACGGTTTGGGATCCTGGGAATGAGAATCAACAATAAACTATCTTTAAGCCTCCAACCCAAAGTGTCTGTATATGTTTCTCAGCTCTGATTGGTTGTTTCCATTTAGGCCTGGGGAATTCTTGTAAGTGTCTCATGAACTACTTTAAGGATATAATGAAAGTTTCAGCAAATATGACAAAGTTATTTTTATAAAAGTTACCTACTACAGCTTTGAATAATTGATTTTTT